GGCGCCACCGATGAGAGTTGCATCAATGCGGAAATAAGTGGGCAAAAAAGGTCCCATTTGTCGGCTTCTGCGCCGCTTCTCGTGGTTTTCTCCTCATACCGGCACCACTGACTACCTCTAGTTTAGTTCTAATGGGCTGCCTCCTAATCGTAAACTCCGCCTTTGAATGATCTTCATTGACAAGCGAAACAGCCTGGAGGAGATGGTCCTTTGTCTTCTTCTCCTCCTCCTTAGCGTTAGCCCGGCGCAGTCGCAAGAGTTAATAGTTTGTATAGACAATAATTGATAGTTTGCCGTTCGTTCCCCTTCCGCTCGAAAGCACTACTGATAACAAGTGAGTTTTTTATTGTACCATGGGCGGAAGTGGTGTAGTGGCAAGTGGCACGCTTACCACGCGAGCGGTCCGGGGATCAAATCCTGGGCCAACCAAGCCTTCCATCCCTCCGGGGTCGGTTAATTGGTACCAGACTTGTCTGGGAGGATAAAAACACTGACTTGTACATCGGCTGGCCCCCGCAAGTCAGGCCACATCGCATTCAAACGCCACTACGAATGTACAAATGGAAGTAGAATGCGTGCCGCATCCCAAAAAGGGATTGATCAACGGCAAATGCTTTATCCTTTTTTATCCTTTTACTGAACCAACGAACAAACCTGAGGTCCATCTGCCCTGAGGCGGTCTGAACAACCCATAATGCCATTCCATAAGAAAAATATGATAATAAACGAATACCATAAATTAATTATTCCTATAGCTATTGTTATTGGTGAACATCCAGTCCCAAGAAATTTCAGTTCACTTGGTAAGCAGCTGCCATCAGACTGGACCCTGAGGGAATCATCAATTGCACACCAAATTCTCCCTGCCGTCGAAGATTTCAACTTAACGGGCAGTATTCGCTCACCAAGACGAAAGCCGTTCCATCGAATATTGCGCTGCAAAGCAGGATTTATCACGATTGCCTAAGTGAGCGCTATCTCCACGGGAAGTGCATCGATATGTTAATTTTTGAGGTTTGTGCCGTTGTGCAGTCGTTACGTGAGAAAATCCCAGGAATCGCTTACACATAGAGAGATCCGGAACGAAAATGGAAGGCGAGAAATGGCCGGAAATCCGATGGTCTGCAGCAGTGACAGCTTTGTTGCTTGAGAAACAAAAAAACGAGCGCTTCAATTCAGTTTCGAATTTGCAACGCTCGCCGGCGATGCCGACATCATCATTAGCGCAATTTGTGGTGAACACAGGAAGACAGACAGCAACGCTAATAGCTTGGCCTGAGACTTCTTGCTGTCCTTTTTGAGAGTCTTTTGATCGTTGCCAGAACGAAATTCCTTGTTTCTCCTTATCTTGTGACCACTGAGACCAATTTCAGTAGCCTGAGGGATAGCCTGAGGGAGAAATTTTGATGCGGTGTAACTTTTGGCACCCTATTTGCAGACATCTTTTCAACCAGATGGTCGGAATCAATGGCTACAGGAAGTGGTGATCATTACGTCACCTATACATGTGTGCAGGGAGAATTACTGCTCAAATTATCAAATTTTGACAGATCGAATGATTGTCTTAGCCCTTTATTCTCAAATGATAAGTAGTCTGACGAGTTAGTAGGAAGCTCAAGCTCTCAAGTCAACCCAACAAAAATATACTCTCAAAAATGCTCCAAGAGACATACTGATGTAGATTGTATATGGAGACTTTCTGACACACTTGTAGGAAGGAAGGAGGACGTTCCTTCCCGAAATGATGGCATCAGACACCGCTGCGCATGAGCGCGATAGTGGCGCACCGTAGTCCCTTTTTGGCAGGTGGCAGAGCTCACGACTAATCGCTAGCGAGTCGCGCAATTTGACCAAATCGAGCGGTGCGGGAGATCCCAGCGGTGCGATTATTAGAGAGCGATTGGTCGCAAAGTATGTCACCTATCCGCGCGCGATGACATGCTTGTGCGACCGGGCTCACCGAGTGAGTGGACGCGCCGCGTATCCTTAAATGAGCCTGAGCGTGTCTATAAGTTAAGGGTTTTATGATTTTTAGGAGTTCGCGTATATATTTACGGAAGTCAATTTTATAGGTTTTTTCGTAGTTTTTCTGTGTCTTCAATTAACTCATTAATATGGACCCGACAAATAGACGTTATGAAGGGGGGGGGCGGAGTCACCCAAATCGATTGAGAAAGTTTGCAGCGAAAGGAATCATATTTTTGTGCTCTAATGTGGCTCTGTTCCTAGTTATGATTGTGGTCAGGGGTCACTAACAATAGGTGCGCTGCCAAAGAATCATCCATCAGCTGCCTT